CATATGAATGTGGGAAAATTCAGTTATTAGTCCCCGTATCACTCCAAAGTAAATAGAATGAATGCACCTCACATGAAAAAGCCCCACGAGACTAATGAATTTCACATTGTCTTAGTTCTCTAAAGATATGCACATCTTGACTAGACTGTACTCCAGTTTCGACTCTATCTGAGCCGGTTTCGTCAACTCAGCCAGCGGGAATCGAGCCGAGATTTTTTACTACATTTTCCGGGCTTCATTCCAACTGAGGATGTGGTTGGGACAAGGTTGAGGTCTGAACTGCCGTGCCCACTCGATGACTGGTGCTTTTAGATAAAGCTGAGTATGTTTGAAAATTAACAGTAATTATTTAATAATAACTTCATAATTTTGCCTCGCTTAAAATCATTGAAAGATTATTAATTGAGTTTTTCAGAGAACAATCTTAATTGAATCACACTCAGCCCTGATTTTGCACTGAGGCCTCAGCATTTTAGGATAATTCGAAATCTGGTTTTAGTAGATCAACATAAAGTAGAGATTTTTTTCATGAAATTATGGAAATTAGAAACATACTCCTACTGAATATAAGTAGTGTCGCCGATTATATTTTCAACTTCCGGTTGGCCTCGTCAATACTCCTACTAAAAAGGGCTCTGTACTCCCACCTTTTGCTGTACAGTTGTTTAGCTCATTTCTATTTCAAGTGAAGGTGTGTCTGATGAAGAGATTCTGGGGTCGACGCCACCCAAAAACAACTGGGGATTCCTCTGACGATTGGCTCTACTGCAACATTACGGTCAACACGGTCGCAAAGCAATCTAATTTTATTTCGGTACAAACGTGTTAAGCTGTCTACGATCACACTTTCTATACACATTATATCACTCACTCTATTTCACACTTATACAAAAAAATCATTAAAGTAAGCATAGGTGTGTTCCGACAGTATGCAATGGTGGGTCAGTAAAGCTTGACTACCGAGGGCAGATATTGCACTCCTTGCTGATTACTTTGATTCATAAATGACGGCTTCGTACATTTACGAATACTTGAAGGTCCTTGAGCACACAAACACACGCAATCATACACAAACTTGTTTCTGTGTTGGCATACAGCTCGAACTAACTAAGTCACTTTATATTTCATCAAAAGGCCTAGATTTAAAGTATCTATAAGTGCATATATAGACACACATACACAAGCATATATATAAATATATATATATGTATAAGCTGGTGAATTTTGCTGATTCGCTAGCTTGAATATGATTGTCAGAATCGTGCAATGCTTGGCATGATTCCATAGAAGTTGAAGAAGACTTTCTCGCGGTCAACGTCACCAAGAATGTTTTCGTCAAGCCGAAAGAAGTCTACCGTCGTTTTCTGATGAGATCCACTTTTGACTGACTTTATAAGACACACCATTACTCGAAATGTGAGTTGAATGATGATGAAACGATTTTGTGAACTTCGTTGGCATCATGAGGCCTACTCATATCATTTAATTTCCTATTCAAACCTGTCCATCAGTCCCACTGTTGTCATTGAAATGACCACGTCATACTACTGAAGTTCTGTTAGTACTCCGTCGGGTGCCGACGAAATGCGCGGTCTATCGCAGGTTCGTTTCGAGAAGATCGTCTGTACCAATTGGTCATTGCCTCTGGATGGATTGTGTGAGTTGGTGATCACGCCGAGCTACGTGGAAATCGAATGAAGGCGGACGACTTTCGACAGACAACATGGTCCCCCAACCGCGTGCACGCCAGACCTGGCCGGTCGACCTGGCCAATGGGTGCTGGACAGTTGAAGAGCGCCACCCCGTGGGATAGACAGACTGTATGTCAGGGCTGCAGGCCTTCGGGCCAATCCTACAGGAGGTATTATGGGCAATTAGCTTGTCCAGTATCAGGGAATTTGGGCAAATCTTGCAGAATGTGGAAAGGAGCCTAGATTTAGGCGGGATTGACGAGATTTCGAAACCTTCCGGTACGGCGGACAGTCGCCCTTTTGTCCGATTCGTCACGTCCCTTTGGGGAAAATATTCCTCTTCAGTGAAGAAGACTCGGGGCCTGTAGGCGGCTGAGGGTTGTGTGTGTAGTCGATCTTCAAGCCTGGCCGACTGTCTCGCCTGTCCTCGGCCGGTTGCCACCCAGCGCTAGACCGATCGGTTGCCGGGGTAGTACCAGCGGACAGTATATCCGTAGGACCGAGTCCGATGCCCACCCGGTACAGCGAGGCCGGATGTGATTGGTCGACGGCATCCGGCGGCAGCTGATCTGCTCACCCACACGAGCCGACAACAGGCCTTGTGTGTCCTCTTTCACATGGCCGGAACACCGACCTATATACTCACAGACTTACAGACATACTTGCATGCGTACACACGGACAGGATGACAGACGGGCAGGCAAGTAAGCACACAGGACCAGATGGTTGCTTGTTGGGATTTGGGCTGAGCCCTCTCGAGGGACTTTTACTCAGCCCCCTGCGCGGTCCACATGCCCGAGGCCTGCACCGACCGGCACAGGCAGTGGTCGCCCTAGCGACAGTGACAGCGAACCCCGCCTCACGAGCCACGGACGACATGTTTACTTTGCACGCACTCCCTTCACTTTCCGGCGCTGAAGGTGCCTGGCTTGTCGCGCCGACATGTTGGGCGACGCGAGAAGAGGACGACCGGCCAATGTGGACCGGCTCTGTCTCGGCCGCCAGACGACGGGTACAGTTGCACATCACTTTTCGCCCAAACCGATACTTACAGAATCGGGCGGCCACATGTGCAGTCTGTCGTCATGGCGACAGCGTGTAGGTAAGGCGAAAGCAAAACAGGATCGTTGTGTGTCAGGTCCAACTCCTCTTATGCCTCTCGTCTATCTCTTCTCGCGAGGTGTGTAGGTATTCGTGTATGTGTGTGTGGCGAGCATGTGAAAAGCAGCGAAGTACAGCGAAGTATGGGAAGTCGCTTTCAAGTGCGCTTCGGCTCGACTCGAGCACACTTTCGACGA